CTTAAATCAAACCCATTCTAGGGGTTTAGCCAGACCCCACCTCTAAATATGCTGCTACCTTTCATCATGCCCACTTTTTGGGTTTTTTCTTGCTGAGACCCCACCTTTAAATAGGCGGAGCCCTCCTAGCATGCCCACTTTATGGGTTGGTCTTGTCCAGATCCCGCCTCTAAATATTGTGGTTTCACGAATCACGGCCCACCCAGACATCACCTCCAAATCGTCCCCTCGCCCTGCATTTGATGCCTTTTTTGAGTTTCTGAGCAGATCGATGCTGTGACCCCGGGATATGACCATGTGCACAGCATCAGTGGGCCAAAATGTGGGACTATCCTGGCTAATCCAGGTCAGCTGGCATGTATGCACCAGCGTGTTGCAGCAATGCGTGTGAGATTAGTTACATGGTATGGTAGAAAATGTAATTGGAGCGGGCTGCTAAAGTATTGCAGCGCACCTTAAACCGGACTTCCACCGGCCTGGTACACGTCTGTGCATTGTATGGCGCTGCCTAGGTGCTATTCCAAACGAAAGGCACCACAATGGACTGCGCTGTGTGTCACGTGTTGTAGCATCATGTAACATACTAGTGTGAAAAGGCCCCGAGAGCCCATTGAAACCTGCGAGTTACACTGACACCTCAACTCAACACATCGCAATCCACGTGCTGCAGGTCAGTTAAAACCTGCGTTGTGTTGCATGGGCAATGCATTGGAGATGATTAGGAACGCCTTACCCAGGGAAGAGGTCTGATTGGGCGCCATAGTCTCCGTTCATACACGTGGGAGAGTTTTTCGTCACGGTCATGGACACGTGTGAACTTTTCAGGGACTTCTCATAACTGAGTACATTCCACTCTGGAGATCAATCTCTTCATACCGATGAGTTCCGATCCAGAACACTTCCAGAAGAACACTGCCAACGTTCTTTTGTTTTGTAGTCTCCTTTAGCCGAACGCCGCTGCTTTCACACAACCAACGGGCAGCACAGCAAACCGGTGAATGAAATGTGAATGTTTATGTGAGAATGTCCTGCGTCAGAGGGTTGCAGGAGCCACATGCAGGGAGATGACGTGTCCTACAACACGCCATGGCAGCTCCACTGCACAGCTCGTCCTGGCTGCCAGCGGGGAGCTACTCTCCTTATTCCATTAAGAGCTGGGCAGATGAGAAGCCCCACCCCTTTCCTGCTATGCCCCACCCTTTTTTGTGTGTTGGTGTAGAGGGCTGCACCACATAAGATGGAATTGTACGGTTCCAACCCCCGGATATGGCAATCCAGAGACGAGATATTATTAGCAGCTCGGTCACGTCACATCTTTTTGTTGGTGTAAGTTTAGTTGTCCTTTAAGGTGACTTCCTGTATCTGAAAGGACAACGTCCGACATTTTTTAGGTCGGGGACAGAGTGGAGGTTTAGTACTTTTGTCCGATGTTAAATGCTTTCTGTGTCTCCTGTGAGATTTCTCTTCTCTTTGGCTGACAACTGAACAGGATTTATACTGATACTCTGGTCACTGGGATAGGCTGTCGCAGTGATCAGGTGATTTGGGTTCTGTCCTATCGGCTCCTGATTGATGCTGTGACCAGGAGCTGTCATTGACCACAAGGTCATGGTGCTGGGGGGAGCACAATTAGGCAAGCTCTCAGCACCACACAGCGACACCGGCCAAATGTATAGTGGTGGCAGCATGAAATAATGCCCACGGTGCTGCCAAGCTGGCGTTCTGCTGGCTGGAAGGGGTTCATCTCATAAGAATTATTTTTCAATGCGTCTGTTGGGAGGGTTTCCCCTTTCTTTTCCTGTTCTGTGTTATACCATTCCAGTAGACAAGCGGTGGGATGAGATTTACTCCCCTCTTGTCTTGACACCTTGTCACAGTAGGGACATTTTCCTTTACTTCCTGTTGTGTCTGATACTCCTTGAATCAACAGGAAGTGCGGAAAAGTCTACCCAAGTAGAACAATAAATCTCTATGCCACACTGTACTGAATGGGCCAAACCTTTCCTGGTGGGGTGGTGGGGTGGCAACTAACATAGGACATTGTAGAGAGGAGAAGTAGAATATGCTGAAGTATATTTTCTTATAACGTAATGCATGAAGAGATGTTTCGGCTCCTTCATCAAGGTGTATGTGACAAAGGTGTGCTTGTAACCTATTCTACCAAATGGGGACACATACAGTAAAATGTTGACAGGGGTGCGAAACCTCCCACCACGAAACCAAAGTGGAAAATAAAAAGTTTGTGTATGGCCGGAAGAAGTATTTAAGGGATGGGTGGGACCTGATGGGCTGAGTCAGCTGATGGCTTCCCTATTTGTCTTCGATGCTCCAACAGTGAGATCTCCCGGCCATAATTCCCGACTCTGTTCCTGTCCACCTGGGGGTCCTGGCTGCTCCCAGCTCCTCCGGTTACATCCTCCATAATATACAGTAAATACAAATTAATCAGGGATAGTGGGAACCCCTCATAATGGTAAGTCGGCTCAGATCTCACTGATAGAGCCCGCAAGAGATATTGGATACCG